CCACTTCCACCTATTTCTCTATTTACGAACTTCGGCAATCGTTTTCTCGACAATTTCCAAGGTACTACGGCTTGAACTTTGTATTTTCATTATTTTCGTTGAGCTTGGATTACTACTCTTGTCAGAGTAGTCGTGATTGGGTGATTAGAGTTGGACTCGTGTGATAAGCACGTCTTGTCCAATTTTTGTGTTGTTGCCGAATTTTTTAGTTTATAGGTTGTTACGTACGGCTAGAGCAGGTAATCGATCTGTTGTGATGAGCACAAAGAAAAGTTGACCGTGTCATGCCATTGCGAGTATCATTATGGGCCCCGTGGCCCGATTTTTGAGCTTTCATGCGTACATGTGTCTTCGTCGAGTTTGTGGATTCCCAGTTATTATTCCTCCGAGACGCATACATGTGGCCTTTAACTGGAGTCGAGGGCCGAATTCTCGACATTTCTTATAGTTTCAATGTTCAAGTGCCCGGATGGCTTATGGACCGATATGCTTTCATTGTTTAATCCGTCGAATGGCTTGGTTTTGCACTCGAGGACTTTCAGATGCTTTTCGTTATTCCCACCGGACGAACACCATTAGACAAACGGTGGTGCACCACCGTGTAGAGTATGCATTTTCTTTTCCTATTTTCTCTTGCCTTTGTTGTTTCTTTTGTGTCTTTGTGTTTGTCCTCTTATCACTTCTTTGTTGATTGTGTTTTGTTTTCATTTTAATCGCATGAACTTACATGATTATGTGCGTTCTGCTATGGTTTTTGGTCAAGCAATGAGTACATTACTTTTTTTTAAGTGTGGGGGAGGGATTTTCGTGATTATGCATGTTTAGGTGATATTTTCTTTGTTTTTGGTGCTTTATTTTTCGTGTTTGTAGTGTCGTGGACCGGTTTTGTTTGAGTTTTTGTGCGTTTGTGCCACCTCTCCAGCATGAAGCTTGATGTTTGTTCGAAAGTCAAAATAGCTAAGTGGCGAGTCGAGATTGTTGATTGGTTTTACTATTAACGTTCATGCTTTATGTACTTGATGATTTGGGCGGTGTCCTAAAATTGTTGGATAGTTCGTTGACATTGGAATCCGCATGTGAATTCACGGAATTGTTTTGTCCCTTATTTATTCTCAATTGATTATCTTGAGGCATGCTTACCTTATGTTCGATTGTCGTTGTAAACGTGTTATCTATGGACTTGTGGTACGTTTTGATTGAGTTGTGATGTTCACGATATTGTATTTGTGATGTATCCTTGTGTGTAACTCCCTTCGAAAAAAAAAAAGAAAAGAGAAATAAAGATTGAGTTCGCGAGCAAGTACGGATTAGGCTCTTCTTATCCCGAGCCATTTCATGGAATGGGATAATGAGCCCGGGAAACCGGTCTAAGAAACTCGGGAAACTCCTCGAGGTTAAACCTAGATTATCTCATCCGGAAACCTCGCTTAGAAAAAGAAACTCACGAAAATGAGTTCGTGAGAGTTGGAAGGATTAGGCTCCTCTTAGCTCAGTTAGTCTTCTAGATAAACCAGATTAATGAGCACGGGAAACCGTCCTAGGAGACTCGGGGACAAACCCCAAGGTTAAACTTAGGTAATAATCATCCTAACGACACTCATTTGGAAAAAAGTAGCTCATTAAAAATAAAAATAAAAAAATAATAAAAATAGAAAAAAATGTATGGGAGTTGGCTTATTGGTTCGTGTTTATCGTGTTTTATATGTTTAGTAGACCATTTGTAGTTTTTGCACGTGTATGTAGACGAGGGAGTTTGTCTTGAGTAATCATGTGTAGGATGACTTGTGACGGGTTTTTGTTTTGTATGGATTCATTATGTGAGGACCGTGTTCTTGGATTGGATTTTGATTTTACGATATCAGGATGACGATGAGTTTCATTTTGCATGCTCGTTAATTTTGGACTTCTCAATTTTTACTTGTTGTTTTGTTTGCTTGAGGACAAGCAAAGAGTTAAGTGTGGGGGAGTTGTTTATTGTGTTTTTTTGCTTATTTTCGTGTGTTTTATGTGCCTTAGTCGAGTCTTTTTAGGTTCGTTTTAGTGTCGACCGGTCTATTTTATTATTTTTTGAGTATTTTTGCTTTCGGTTTGTGTTATTATTTTTTGTCGTATTGTCTCGTTTATTTTGGTGTTGATTAGGTCCATATTGAGAAAGTTTGGGAAGACGTGCCATTTTCAAGTCATTTTTGAGCCGTCCGAACCATCCGAACCGTTTCGAGCCATCCCGGGAGATTTTTGAGTTAAGACCCGCGATCATGCTGTTAGGCCCACATTTCGCGACCCCAATACAATTCGCGGCCCGAACCTCATTCCGCAACGTTGCGCTTTTAGTTTACTTAATGTTTGTTTTTTTTAGTGTGTGTTTTGAAGGAGACTATTTATATATTTGGTCCTTTGTATTTTGGGGGAGTTAGCTTCATTATAAAACTCTTCCCTTCTGAGCTTTGGCTTAAGTTCTATGCTTCTCTCTATTTTATGGTTTGTATGGAGCTTATGTCATTTTTTGGTGGTTTTTCTAGTGACTTTCTTTTCGTTCAAGTTTCAAGCTTTTGACTCCGTTTTTCATCTACTACGCAATAGAAGATTGAGTATTTATCTTTAAAACTCTTTACTTCGATTTTTGCCTCGATTGTACTTATGATGCTTATTAGGGTGGATATGAGTTTGGATGGATGATGGATGCAAAGCTCGATTTTGATTGTTTTGGTTGCTTGCTTGAGTTTATGTAGGTATTAATTACTTGCCTTCTCGATTAAGGATTAAGACTCCATTTAAGCTTAATGACTTAGGGTTAGGATTAATTACCTAGAACTCATAGCTTGCATGTTCCTCTTTGTTATTTGTTTTCTTTTCATAGTGTCGATGGCATGAGACTCTAAGGTTTTGTTTTCGCTATTTACTCGTTATTTGCTATTGCTCGTAATCATTTGCTCGTCTAGTATTAATTCAACTCCAATCCAATTGATTAGAATGTTTAGGATTTATTTTCTCTTCTTGTGATTTGGACAATTAAATAGTGAACCAAGCTCCGAATAGTCTTCTTTTGAGAATGACCCGAGTCGGATAGCTCGGTTACCTCTTGCCCACGAAACTCTATAAAATACTCATGCATATGAAGCGCACCAAAAGAGGGTGCTCTTTAGTGAGGTTTCATCCCAAAATCAACTGGTAGTAGGAGTAGTTCATTTGACTTATAAGCTAGGTCAATTTTTCCTATAGAATGGATGTCGAACAACTCACAAATAATATTCTAATAGAGTTGATGTTGCGGAGGACTTGAATTCCTTAGGGAAAGTCTACATCGACCTGATGAATACCTGGAGTTCTTGAGCAGCATGAATACTTGGGTAACAACGTATGTGGTACTTGGGAAACAATACAGAGACTTCTTGGGAAATTATTTGGGCAACAAGGTCTGCTTACTTGTGCCTCCCGGAGTTCATCGAACAGTCAGTCGGCCGCCGTCGACTAGAGGCGTTTTCCCACCGAAACCAAAAAATGTTCCGTGAATGGCCTCCCGGTGATTTAGAGTACTTTCTCAGTCTGCCGGCAACCCAAGTTCCCTCCGGTCAGCAGCCCAACCTCTTTCCAGCAACCAAATACTCAGACGGTCTGATTGGTCCTGCACCCACCGTCACCTCCGTCAACACTGGTTCGAACTCTGAAGCCTCGAAGGAACCTCTTGTTGCTGCTTCAATCGTCACCTTGATTTCGAGTGCCATCCCTCTAGGATTTTCCCTGATCACTGGTTCCTTGTCAAAAGAGATTCCCCGCAGCTCTCCGTTTTCGCCCCCGAAAACCGAAAAATCCAATCCGGAAGTCGCCGGACTTTGTTCAATCAACATCGTCAGGTTCGGTCAGACGGCGGCGATGCCCAACACACAGTTTGCCCTAGTCCTGCATGCACCATCTCCTTGGGCTTCCTTGCTTGGGCCGGTAAGTCCCTCATTAATTTCACCTTCTGGGCCCACTTCTTCAAATCCAAATTTCTCTCTATTTTTCGGGTCCAATTCTGCTGGGCCCTTTTTCACCCCAAGCCCTTCCCAACTAGCCCAAAACAAAACCCATCTCTTCCACTCTTTACCCCAGCCCACAAGATTAAAAACCCTCACTCCTCAGCTCACTTCACTCGTCAACCCCTCTCACCTCAGCCTCCAACATGTCCAGCCCGATCCCAACCTAAACCCTCAAGCTCGGCCCAAATCCAACCCAACCCAGTTTATACCCAGCCCAGTACCCCCATAACGGCTCGGACCCAGCCCAAACTTCATGTTTAGCCCTTGGACCGGCAACCCAAACCAAATTAATGGTCTTGGACCGACAAAATCCTACCTCTCGGCAGCCCAAAAAACCGTCCCACCCAAGCCCCTCTTCTTCGGCTCTTTTTCTCTATCCGGCAGTATCCTAGAAGTGCTTTTTTCCTCTTCTAAAGTCTCTAAAATGTCTGAGGACCTCAAATATGCTCTCATGGGCAAATTCTCTTTTGGCAAGCCCTCCAACGAGGCTATTCAATCGAACCTCGCGCTCTTAGGTTTCACCGAAAGTAAAAAAAAATAAAAAATTCATTCAAGCCAATCACGTAATGATCAAAGTTGATGACCCAAACACGTCCACTAAGCTTTAATTGAAACGCGAAATCTCTATTCCTAATTTTCCTATGCAGATTTTCAAATGGTCTACTGATTTCGATTTCAACAAAAAACCACCTATTGTCTCAGTTTGGATCAAAATCCCAACTCTCTCCCTTCATTGTTTTGATTTAAAGGCTCTTCGAACAATCGACAACCTCTTTTGCACCCTTTTGAAAGTTGATGATGCCACACTAAACAAAACTCTACTCCAATATGCTCGCTTTTGCGTAGCCCTCGATCGTGAATTCCTCCACCCAACTAGTATAGTCGTCTCTTGCATAAACAAACGCGTCGAACTCATTGTCGAGTTCGAATGCTTACCAAATATTGTTCTTATTGTTCTCATGTGGGACATGATGACTCAACTTATTACATTAACAAGGGAAAAGACCCTGACATTGAACCCTCTCCCCATATTTCTCCCCCTTTTTCTACTCTTCCGACCTCCCCACCCGCTAGCCCACCCAATCCCTCCTCTTTTGCCCTGGACCCGACTCTCTCGAACTTGGCACCTCCTCTTGGCAAGACTCCACCCAACCCCTCCTTGTTAGGGCATGTTCCATGCTCGGCCCGAATCTCTTGTCTCTCCTCTTTCTCTGAAGCGGGACCATGCAATGTACTTGACTCTTTGGAGCCAGGTTCACCTAAGCCCAACTCAGTGAATTGTTGAGTCTTGCTCTTCTTGTTCTGAACTGGACTCCACTCTCTTCCCTTTTCGGAATTTGAAGATGACTTCTCTGTCGCCCGAAACTTGAGTAAAAAACCAATCACATCTCTCCCTTCTCCCTCTGTCCCACCCCATTGTCCCCAGACTTACACTAATTCTTCCGGGTAAAAACAGCGAAGTAGGCACAACACGAGAAAAAAAAAAAAAAAAAGGACCATTTTTTAGATTCGCTGATGGAGTGGTAACTTTAGTTTGTTGTCTTTTTCCTTTTCTATTTTTCTTTCTTTAGACCTGGACTTTTTTTGCCCATTTAGTGTCATGACTATATACAAGTTGGAGATCCAACCTTAATCCCCCACCCTGCGCTGGGTGTTTTTAAATTAAGAAAAGGGAGGGGGCGGGAGAGAGATGGGGTATGATTAATGAAACCTTTTTTATTTCATATTATGATCAATAATTATCACTCTTTCATATTCAACAGATTGACTTGATCGTCGGAAGTCTACTGTCGAAAACATCTCCAACGTGTTTCGCAGGTTCATGTCATTCCAAGGAATGAAACCGGTGTAGGATCATCTTATTGCTGGTCCAAGAAGGAATTACTCATGATCAATGGTAATTGAAAATAACTTTTCGTGCTCACAATTTAAGCATTGTGGAAATACTCGCACAGAGCAAATTACTGAGCTAAAACGAGGCTCGTTGGAAGCTCAACTGGTTTACTCTTTGATCCCCATATTTATATTAATTTTAAGAACTTCTTTAGTCCGTTGTTACAAACCGCATGACAACACTAATATATAATACTTCAAATTCTCAATATGCTTATATGCATATAGTTAAGCAATTATTTCATCTGTTGAGCACTCCCTAATTCTGATCTCCGCCTCAACGCCGTAGACTCGAACAATGTCGCAACACTCACATCTATCCACCTGAGACCAAGCAAGCAGCCAAAATAGCTCACATGTTAATCATCATCCACAAGATTTTTTTGGTCATTTGTGAATTCATGAAAAATGACCAATTGAACGATAATTTATGTTACCAGCTAACGCCGCCTCACTACTCGACCATTGTATTTATTGAAATTTAGACACTAACCTGAGTCCGTTTAACGGCAGGCGAGAAGACTTGAATCCGCTGCACGTAATCCGCCGAACGATTGCCCGTGGATGAGCAGGCCGGCATGCCTCGAGGCCACGCTCGGGAATAGCTGGTGAGAACCTCGTGCGGACCCTGCGCCACCGACTCGAAGAAGAAGACGTGGGGAGCCACGCACGGGTCCCGCGAGCGTGGCCTTGTGTTGAACAAGTAGAACGGGGGCTTTGGGTCCGCTAGCCACGGTCTGAACGTCTCGATGGGAGTTTGAAGGTAGCTCCTGGAGAAGATGTTCTCGTATATGTAGGCCGAGTAGCCCCAGGAGACGGAGAAGGTCCAGTTGGTCAGCCTGTTGTGGCAGATAGTTTGCTGGAGGAGGCGGGACTGGCCGGCACCAGCCGCCTTCATGAGGTGGCGCGTGGACAGGTGGCGGTCCATGTTGGGGAAGATGGGGCCCACCTTGTCAAAGTGGTGGAGGGACAAGAGTGGGGACAGGGGGTGGGAGGATAACAAGCCAGATATATCACCACGTAAATCAACCTTCAACATACATATGAAATTAAGTGCTTTTTTAATTAGTGGAGTACTCAGAGTAACATCAACAACCGAAAATTCGAAGAAATCAAAATATAGTCACCTGATGGTTTCCTTTGTTTGGAGACAGGTTAGCTCCAATGTCTGCAATACAGGCCCTGGTGGTGTTATCAGCCGAATTCAAAAACACGTACCTCTTGAGACAACTCTCCATGTCCCGAGCAAGAGCTTTCGCCAGCTTTCGGCTCAGAATTATCCCACCCCCACCAAAAGCCTGGTCGAACGAAAACAGATAATTCGACACTATGCTCTCCGAATTCCCACCGAGATAGTAATACCTCTCGTGGTCGTAGTTACTAAGCACGTCGACCATATTGTCCACGAAGAAAATCGAGTCGTCATCCCCCATCACCACCCATCTGAAACCGTCTTCTTTATCGTCAACTAGTTCAAGCTCCCTCAGGACCTCCATTATCCCGTGCACCATCCTCTGGGCCCGGATATTGGTCTTGTTAAGTAATTTTGTTAAATCATCCGAGACCCGGTAGGGAGGGGAGGTCTCGGGCCAGGGCACGAGCTTGGGCCCCGGGGGTTTGTCGAGGAGGAGGAAGCCACGGGTGTAGTTGGGCCGCCACCACGACTCGATGTACGATTTTCGGTTGGGCCAGGCCTTTTCGGAGGCGAGCAAGCCGAACACGAGATGGCTGAGATCGGTCGGGTTAGTTTTGAGGCGGCTGGCGGGTGGGGAGAATTGGGAAGGTAGGGAGGTGAGGTTGTTGTTGTTTGGGTATGAAATGGTGATGAAGCCAAGGGCAATGACTATCAATATCATGAGCAGTAGTTGTGTATGGCATTGGCTGCAGATTTTGAGAAGTACCCTTGTTATCATTTATTGAAGGCTAAAGGTGATATATGTGCTTGACAGACTCTCATCAACCTCTATAATATATCTACTTATATCTACTACGATCTCTAATGTTTCTGTAAAGATTTGGACAGACCAAATTACCCTTATTTTCTTATTTTTTTCATGGCTTAATTGTCATTTTTGTTTAAGAGTCCATTTAATGAGAAATATGAGAGTCCATGTAATGAATGAGAGTTGAGAGATATGAGAGTCCAGAGAGAGTAATCGTTCTTGATTATTTCCATTTTATTTTTTGGGTATTTTTCTTTTTTTTTTCATATTTTGATTAGTCGAAATTTAATTTACTTTGGTCAATGGTTTTAAATTCTTTGATTAATTTTGGATTTCGATTTGGATGTGAACTTATATTTCAACGACGGTTCACTTTTTTATATATTTTTTTTTTTAATTTTAAAGATAATTTTGTTAAATCTCACTATAAACTTAACGTATATTGATAATTTTCTCGTGAAGTCAATTTTAGTTAAATTATATTATGTTATTTATTTGATAAGTATTTAAGATGGAAGTATAAAAGAATAATATTTTGGATTACAAGATTATATTAGCCCAAGTTTTATGATATATTGAAAACGACTTAAATATATTTAGAAAATAATAATTAGTAATATCAGAACTTTTAGAACATATTTATGGATTTGTTGAACTAGAGAAATAATTATTATGAGCTATATATACTTGTACTATTCCAAACCAAACACATAAGTTTACGAAGCATCAATACTCCACATATCTATATATCTATATATAAAAAGATTTACTAATTTCAGAAATGGCAGGTCAATCTTGGTCAAATTTTAATTAGCAGTAATTACTTATTATTTTTAGTAATTCTTTTTACTTTTTTTTTTCAAAAAAATCGGACAGTTGCCCTTAGAATTAGGGATTTGATTGATTGCTACATATTTTGTTTGTATGTATATGAATTTTCTTTTTTTTTTTTTCATTTTTGTTGATTATTAAAATTCATCTAAAAGTTATAAATGAAACAATTATATATACATATATATATGTATATATATATATATATGGATTGAATCCAATGAGTCCACATATTTAAAGTGTGAACGTGAGACCCATTCCTAGCCATTAAATTGGTACATTATGTGTGGCTAAGATTAACTCTTCAATTAAATAATAATTCTTTATTTTTATTACTTATTTCTTTATTTTATTATTTTAATTATTTTAATATTATTTTGACAATTGACCATTGTTTTCGGCATTGACCGTTGACTCTGGCATTGACCGTTGACTTTCGGCGTTGACCGTTGACTTCCGGCGAAAATCGATGACTTCCGGTGTTGACCGTTGACTTCCACCGTTGACTTTTAGCATGCATTGTGTATGAAGTAAATATGCATCAGTACTATGCACTTAGTATGAACTAAATATGCATCATAAATGAATTATATATGTTATCCTTATGAACTAAATATGCACAAGTAATATCAACTATGTATGCACTGTTTATGTACTAAATATGTACATTTTACTAACTAAATATGCATCAGGATGAACTAAATATGCAATAAAATATACATTTTATACAATTAAATTAAATATAATAATTAATGATTTTTATTATATAATAAATTTTAATTTTAAATTGATTAATAACACAAATAAATTGTTATGATTGGATCTCAAATAAAATAGGTATGCACTTAGTATGAACTAAATATGCATCATAATTGAATTATATATGTTATCCTTATGAACTAAATATGCACCAGTAATATCAACTATGTATGCATTTATGTACTAAATATGCACATTTTACTAACTAAATATGCATCAGGAATGAACTAAATATGCAACGAAAATATGCAATAAAATATACATTTTATACAATTAAATTAAATATAATAATTATTGATTTTTATTATATAATTAATTTTAATTTTAAATTGATTAATAACACAAATAAATTGTTATGATTAGATCTCAAATAAAATAGGTATGCACTTAGTATGAATTAAATATGCATCATAATTGAATTATATATGTTATCCTTATGAACTAAATATGCACCAGTAATATCAACTATATATGCACTGTTTATGTACTAAATATGCACATTTTACTAACTAAATATGCATCAGGAATGAACTAAATATGCAACGAAAATATGCAATAAAATATACATTTTATACAATTAAATTAAATATAATAATTAATGATTTTTATTATATAATTAATTTTAATTTTAAATTGATTAATAACACAAATAAATTGTTATGATTGATCTCAAATAAAATAGGTATGCACTGTTCATGAGCTAAATATGCATTTCGTAAGAACTAAATATGTATCATGAATTAAGTAAATATGCATAATAAATTAATTATATAAATATTATTATATATTTAATTTAAATATAACAAGTATGCATTTCGTATTAACTAAATATGCATCATAAATTACCTAAATATTCATAATAAATTAACTAAATATGCATCATAAATTACCTATATAAAATGTACATTTTTATTGCATATTTTTCGTTGCATATTTAATTCATTCATATGATGCATATTTAGTTCATAACAGATACATATTTAGTTCATAACAGGTACATACATAGTTGATATCATTGGTGCATATTTAGTTCATAAGGACTGCATGTGCAATTCATATCCCATGCATATTTAATTCATATGAATGCATGGTACTGGATGCATATTTACTTCATACATATGATGCATACTAGGGGTCAACGGGCCAACGCCGGAAGTCAACGGTGAACGCCGGAAGTCAACGGTCAACGTCGAAAGTCAACGATTTTTCGCTGAAAGTCAACGGTCAACGCCGGAGTCAACTAATATTTATTTTATTATTTAATCAATATATATTTTAAGGAGTGGACTCATTGGATCCTCCCCCTATATATATATATAATAAAAATAATCATTTACTAAAAGTAACAAAAAAAAAATCAGAAAATATTAATTACATTCATTATTAAAAAGCTATATTAAAATTTGATTTTTTTTTTTTAAATCTAACATTGTCTGGTTTCATGGGTTTTTTTTCAAAAATTAAATTTCAAAATCTACCATTAAATTTCTAAGTCCTAAATATCGACAATTCAAATCTCAAAATCGCCAAACATCTAATCATTTCTTAAATGAAGTATTCTGTAAATTTTCAGACACTTTAGTATAAGTTAAAGTGTAATTTAGTGTATTATAATATTCTCCAATTAAAAACAATTAATATTCATAATTTAGAAAATCTCAATTTTCATGTCATACAATACTATTTTTTTCATCTTATAAAAATCTCAGTTTCATATAATCCAATCCAATTTTTTTTTTTATCTTACACGACATTGGCTTGCATTTGGTAACTCCGCCGCTGCATTTAGTAACATAATTTAATAAATCTATGCATGTATTTGTCAAAATATATTTTTAAGTTATAAGATACAATTGTGATAAAAAAATACATTTTTTTACAGTGAACCATAATTAATATGCATTTAAGATAAATATCAAAAGTTGTTGAATAGGAGACATGCATTGTTGATCAATTTTTTAACTATGTGATAAGATAAATATTTTATGAAATAAAAATTGCAGTTAAAATTGGAAAAACTCTCAATTGTACACGTGCATTTTAAATTTATGAGATAAATTTTCATTTGTATTAATTTTTAAAATTCAAATAAAAGACATAATACAAGTCCAAGAATTTGTTTGGTATTTAAAAAACAAGTGAAATCGTACAAAAAACATAAAATCAACCGCTTTTTACGTGATTTCTAAAAATATATATCGTAAATTGAAAACAAAAACATTTTATTCACAAGGTTAATTTGTGAATTATTCTTCATAATCGAACGGAATAGAGTTGAGGTAAAACAAAAAAAATGTGCAGGTAGTTCTTATGAAAACCCTAAAAAGTCAGAAAATTTTGCCTTTTATAGGTGAAATGGATTGTTTACGACCTTTAATCATTTTGACCGATTTGGATCGTCCAATCACCGATTTTGTGCATGTGAGTTGCATTAGTGTATATACTGAAAGCTTAACTTCTTGCGTTATTTATAATATTTTGTGTTGAATGAGAATTGCGTTAAACATAAAATATTTTAGATACTTCTTACATATATATGTTACCCCACATTTTTACTTTATACTTATTAGTTAATATTGTTTACTCTCCTCTTTAATTTATAATTATTATTTAATAATATTTTCTCGTGCATCGCATGGGGTACGCACTAGTATTACCAAACACTAGAAATCGACTTGGAACATTCTGCATTAATATATAGAGGATATCTTTGTCCTTAAATTGCCGGTTGCAATTTATTCACGCTCATTATATTGTCTAGAATTATATCCATGTCTATTAGGAATTTTAAAATTATAAAATAAAATATTTGAATAACTTAAGTTGTAAAATATATTTAAAATTAATAACATTTGTATTTGTTATTAGATTTTCGTATATCATATATCAAATTAATCACCTTTTGACGATATACGATTTGATATCCATGTTGCATATATAAAATAAATAAATAAAATTATTTTTTATATAAAATTATATCATCCATTACTACTAATTAAAAATTAGTCAAACTATGTATCATCAATTCAAAAAGTCATAAATAAGTTCATTACATGTGACTTAGAAAATTAATATTATTTAAGTCGGGAAATCATTTAATTCAAAATTTTCATTTTAAATATAAATAGTAAATTAATTTTTAAAAAATATCAGAAATTTAATTAAAAAAAAAATCTCGTACATTTTATTTAAGAATTTTAGTACAAGTTTTTTTAACTAGCACGCGTGTAATTACAGGTGTTGTACTAGTTAATTATTAAAACAAATGGAGCAAGAGCGTTTGACAAATGGAATACCTCAATTGATAGCATTTGACTGCAGATCATAAGGTTCGTCGGTTTGAATCTAGTTGGGCGCTTTATACGACAAAGTTTTTATTTACTGTTATTTTCACTTATAATCTCTAGACATGCCCCCAAGGTATGTAGTCCACTGGCTTAATGTCATAATGTAAGTACCCCATGAATGCAAAAGGTCAAATCGAACTTGATTGTTGTGGAGAATGAGAATAGGGTACCTCACTCCTCCTACCTAACTCCTTCTCGAGGATTAGTCCCACCCTCTTTGTGTAGATTCCGTTAGTCCCACCCTCTTTGTGTAGAT